TAGAAGTGGCAGATAAATGAAGAATCTAAGATTCTATGAAAACACCTGTTGAATAAGGAACAACTTATTGTACTCAACTGCCAAGATGCACAAAAACCAAAAGCAATACTAGATTTTGGGAATTAGATTTTTTTGGGAGTTTGGTGAGAGGATCAATGCCACCTCACTTCTGAAGGGAGGAAGTTATTAATGGTCACAGCCAAAATTGGTAAAAAACCTCTGGAAAACTGCAAATTGATGCTTTTCGACTTTGTTTTTTGTATGAATTGATCAAGTAAGATATAACGTGTTAATAAACAGTGAGCCTCAGATGACTTGCTGGTCGGTGGATTTTATTACCTTTGGACAGAGTCTGGCTAGCTGTTTCCTCCTGGTTCAAGTCTTTGTGCTAAGCGAAGTGGCTCCTGGCTGTAGCCTTATATTTAATATAAGAATTATGTCGGATTTTCTCATCTAACTTTTCGAAAGAAAGCAAATAAGTGTATTTCACAAAATGCTGCTCATCAGTGCTTTGGATGCACCTGTTGTAAGACTGTAGTGGAAGTGACGGCTGAATCTGGTTAGTTGTTTTAGCTTGCTTTTTATTCCAACAAAACACACACACACACACACACACACACACACACACACACACACACACACTAAAAAACACCTCACTTTCAAACAGCGGTGAGAGGCTGGTCTCATGGTCTCAACAGAAAACTTTAAGAAAATATACTCTGTAGAATTAAAGTACTTTGCACTTGGCAGGAGGTTATCCCTGCAGTTTGTTTTGATAATGATTAGCTTAATGTCCTCCTGTGGAATGCCTTCGGACATGTGTCCAATTGTAAGACAAATATTAAACTTTTAACATGCTCACCGAGGTCTGTTGACACTGTAAACGGCCTCCAATATGCATGCAGAAAGTGGCTGAACTATAACAATATGTTAAGTCAGCGTAGGTGTGTATGGACAGTACTTCATGTAGCTGCTCCCCCCCCCCCCACAAGGCCTCCCTTCCCCTTGCTCTCCACAGTACTGTGTTACTGTCCTGTTAATGTGAGAGTGAAAAAGAGGGAGGCTGAAACCTGATCCGCTCACCCAGTTAGCCCTGGTCTCTCTCAGAGAGAGAGAGAGAGAGAGAGAGAGACAGAGAGAGACAGAGAGACAGAGAGGGAGAGAGAGACAGAGAGAGAGAGACAGAGACAGACAGAGAGAGAGACAGAGAGAGAGACAGAGACAGAGAGAGACAGAGACAGAGACAGAGAGAGAGAGAGAGAGAGAGAACATGCTTGCGTTTGTGCATTTAAACACAGTGGACGCCATGACACCGCTCACACACAGCCTTTCCTCCATTTGATCACATAGCTGACCTGCAGGCACGCACATGAAATCGCGCGGACCGTCAGCTGCTGCCAAGAATTAAACAGCTATTGGCTTCCAGCTCGGACACAAATTTCACTTCACAACACTTGGTCTGTCACAAGGAGACGAAGTCCAGACGACTAGCCAGTTCACTCGCACTACTCGGGGAAATTAAATCAACAGGGAATGACAAGTAGAAAGTCCACACACTTCAACATGCATTCACTGCATTGATTAATGGAAGAAATTCAGTGAAGAATAATACCACTGTGGAAACTCAACAGTGGTTCGTATTCAACGTTGAGTCTTACTTTTCTAATGTGTTCCATTGTGTGTGTGTGTGTGTGTGTGTGTGTGTGTCCCAGAGACCCACCTATGGAAGCAGCTCTCCTGGCCTCATTCACCACTTCCCCATCCTGTTCCAGCAGTCAGTCAGCAACTTACTGCCCTCCACCTCCCACATTCCCGTACCTCTGCTCGTGCCTTTTCTCTTTCAGCCTCACCCTTTTCTCTCTCCACACACTGATAATGTCCAATCTCTCTCGTCTTCATTTTCCCCTCTCCACTCCATCTCTTGACTTTCTTTTGTCTCTCCTGTCGACTCCCCCGTCTTCTTTTAGTCTGACATTACATCTTCGCCTTCTTTCTCCCTCCCACAGCTCATCTGGCTTTTATCTTTGACATTTCATTTGTTCTCCCTTTTCTAAACTCTCCTGAAGTCACTGCTTTTATTGCCTTTATCTCTACCTCGCAAAACCTGTTTCTTTTTATCCTCTGCTGGCCACTTTTCATGTCAAGCTCCCTCGCTGCCCTGCCAACACTTCTCTGATAGCTATGTGCTGTAAACAGAGATGTTGGTCAGGGGCTAGCTCACTTTGACAGGCAAGCATGCAACAACTGAGCCTCACCTGAGGCGGGATGCCAGCAAAGCATCAAAGGGAATGGACATGAAATGAATGGGGTTAACAGACACTTGAGATAAAGTATCAGCCTTGGAATGCTCAAATATCACCCAAAAGCAGCTACACCTGCAAAACACTAAAATAAAATAACCCTCCTCCTTCTCTGTTAATACGATAGACACAATGTCAGAGACATCTCAAAGCTGAAACAATGTCTTATTTTACAATTTGAATGCAAAACATTCAACTGTTCTAGTTTCTGAATTGTAAGAATTAGCTGCATTTCTTTTTGATAGTGAACTGAACATCTTTGGACCTAAAGTCCAGGGTGATGTCTTCAACAGTTGTTGAAGACATCACCCTGGACTTTAGGTAAACGTGATGAACATGGCTCAGTACAGGGTACTGCGAACAATACCACCCACATCTATTGTATTAACAAGCTGTTCTGTTTAACAAATAGTAAGCACACACACCGATCTCCCAGTGTGGGTGGAAAAACTTCTAAAGCCACCAAAACACAGAGTAAATGGAGGCGAGACAGAACGATGTCCGTGTATCCTGCATCTCAACGAGCTGGTTACCCAGACAGAAGCAGCAAGACTCTTCAGACCATCGTTAACCGTCTTTCATGAGGACACGCCGCCAGTTTGCCCGAGCCAAAGTAGAGTCAAACACTGTAAAAGACTTGGCAAACATACAACACACACTGAAGAACACAAAGTGCCGGAGCATTACTGTGGGAAACACAGCTCTACCCAACAATGGAAATCAATCACCTTCATTACAGGTAGTAAACCGTTTCAGACCTGTGTCGTCAATTTCAGTAAACTACAAACCCAACAAGTGAAGCTCACCGTGTCAATTCTGCCGTTTTGAGTAAAAACCAGACAGGTGAAGGCCTCAGGAATAGTGAAACATCTGGATAAACTGACCATTTATCAGACCGAGGAATTCATACCTGCAGCTCTTCCATGATGCGCTTCCAAAGTGTAGACCTTTAATGGTTCTTAGCCAGTAAAAAGAGGTGTCAGGACACAGCAGGTTGGAGCATGACCCTATAAATGACATCTGACCTCTACATGATCAATGTCTGGCCCTGGTGGCAAATGGAGACATTTAAGATAAGCTACCTACAAAGATCAATAAGGGATTGAAAAGGATTTAGATTGGATAAAAGGCTATCAAACCCAATCCCACCCAATGTAATCATCCTACCATCCCCCACAGCAACCCTGCAGAACTGCTCCTCCTTTACGAGTCAACAAGGGAGCTCAAAAGCAAACGGTGTTTAGTGACAATAACTTTATCACCGGAGGCCTTTAAATTATACCTCAAGACCTCGTAACATTTCAGGGAAATGCCGGTCTGATCCGACCACATCCACACAGTCCTAATGGCAGATTAGCTTTGTTAGTTAAATTCTAGTAAATAACAGCTAGGAGTATTTGTTCCAAAACTTTGATTTATATTGTTAAGCTATAAATTATAAATAAAGGATTTTCCTTTGAGTCTGTAAGAAAGCAAAATTAATTTTAGAAATTGGAAAGCATAAAAATGACTCACTGGACTTGCTGTGATCCTGTTTTCAATTACAGGCACTAAAAACATTTTGGTTTTTTTTCTTGCTTCCAGCAGCATCAGATTACTTTGCTTTCTGTAAACATGGCCGACAGTCTCCTATAGCACAAAAGCATTTTGAGTGGGGAGAACAGAGGAGACACGAGAACAATGAGGAGAAAGTCAAAGCAGCAAGAAAAGATGTAGTCAAGAAGAGGAAGGAGTGCGGGGATAAGCATGAGATAAAGAGAAGAAGCTAAAAGGAAAAGGACTATCGAGTAGGGGGAGGTAAACAAGATAAGGCCAGGAAAAAGAGGACAGAGGAAGGAGTTTGGAATGAAGGAGGAGGAGGGGAGGAAACAGGGAAAAGGAGAGTAGCATTTGGGATTTATTCCACTTTTGGGTCATTCCTCACTAACTACACAGAGGCCTTCAAACAGGGACATAGTTAAACATGTCTCTTTACGTTGCCTTTTTAAAGAAAAGAAGACCATAGAAGAACTGTGCCTGTGACTGTGTTGTCTATGTTTAGTGGAGATGTGGTCAAAATCACTGAGCCTCAGCTGTCCTGGGTGTTGATCTTGACAGCATGGCAAGCAGGTCAGAGGTCATGTTCCCAGTTTAGGTTTAAAAAAAAAAAAAAAAAAAAAAGTGGCGCTGAGGTTCTACCCTCTATGACAAACCAGTGGTTTGACCCTCTGTAGAAACAGACTTAAAATCACGAGAGGAATCCAGAGGGGAAAAAAAAAAAAAAAAAAAAAAAAAAAAGACTGGAAACTTGGACCGATAGAAGTTCATATGCAGGAGAGTGATTCACTCAAAGAAAAGTCTTTAAAACTAATAAGTCTTTGTTTAGACACTTATAGGACTGTATGAAAAGAGCAAGTAGAAAGTACCACCTATTTTATTCCATTTCTATGAGCCATGATACACCCTCATGTTTTCTTTAGCTGGAGAGTACTGTTAACACTTTCAGGATGACTCGTCACGATGCAATATTGTTTACACCCATTATTAGGGACGCACAGTTGGCCATTGCTGTGGTTTGTTTTAATTACTGTAATACTACTAATCAAGACATTAAGAGCGCAATTACTTTGAAAGTGAAGTTTTTGTTGGTGACC